ATACGCGGACGCAATAGATATACACACGTAGGTAAAGCCACGCGGTGTTAAACATCCATAGCTGTTAACGCAAAAAAAGGATATTATATGTATACTTATATTAGTGAGGATAATATCTGCTAAAAGGAAGAAAGAAAAAGGCATAAAGTGCCCCACGTAGCGTAATTGCATCTGTAAATGCGAGCGAGTGAAGACGACTCTCGCCTTTTGATTTACGAACGGTGCACTTGCTCTGTCTCTCTTTTCTTCTCTCTTTTTCTCCTTTTCTCGCTTCTTGTTCGGGGTAATATCGAGTTTCAGCGACGCTCCGCACACCCATATAGCATATATATGTATGAAGAGAGAGAGAGAGAGAGAGAGAGAGAGAGAGGCATACATACATAGGTACACACAGAGTTTGTACGCGAATGACTCGTAAAAAGGCGAGCTTCAAATTTCTGAGTGCGCTGAAATTTTTCCACTTTTCTCCAGCCCTGCGCGCGTACGCGATTCTTTTCCCCCCCTATTGGCGCGATGATTTATGCGCGAGTGCACTGTGTGTGCAAGCACGCGTCTACGCGCCTCGACTCGCTGCAGTACATTATACGCGCGCCGAGAAGATTTTCACCGTAAAATCCATTTCCGACGATCAGCATCTGTGTTTTACACTCTGTGTGTGTGTATAGGTATTTATATTGCCATACGCACTACGTGCGCACCACGCGAATCGGAACTAGTTCTACCAGCGCGCCCGGCCATTCTTCGAAGCGAGAAAAGCTCTTATACACGGAAAGATGCCACGGAGTATATACGAGTATATATAATAATATATGGACCACCACGGAGAAGCCGCGCGCGCGCTTGCGCCGAGGTACTATCGCGCAGACTCCTAAGCTGCCCCTCGTCGTAGTCGTAGTCATCGTCGTCGTCGTCCCACCTCTCTCAGGCAACGCCCTCGCCAATAATCGTAAAGTAAGCGAGTGTATGGTGTGGCGCGTATTAAAGTATAAGGCACTGCGTACTACTACCACTACCGAGTAGCGAGTATGTATACGCACAAGCTCGTGTACGATACGCATTCGAGGCACTCCTACATTCTCTCTCATCTCTCTCGCTCTTGCGGGTGCGCGCCCGAGCACGTATACGATTTTTCTCCATTTTCCCGACGCAGTTTTAACAATCAATCAGCTGAAAATCCATAAGCCGTGCGGTGGATCGACCCATGCCTGCAATATACGTGAATCGTATGTATACAGCGTATACACGTACGTATAACGTAAGATATACACGGAAGGGTTCCGAGACTTGTATTTCACACCTTGTAACATTAGAGCGTCTGGTAGAAGTAGTAGTAGTATGTGTGTGTAGGTATATATGCCATTACTCTTAATACCCTACTATGTAGCGAAGGTGAGCTGCATTATACACCCATACACGAGCCATGTGCGGCAGTAGTGCAGCAGTTCGCGCGCGACGTGTATAATATAAATGCATCCATCGCGCGGCCGTCCCGAGTCCGTGTCCATGTTATACATATATATCGCGAAGAAGCAGCGACCTCTCCCACGCAATCAAGCTTTTCCCCTGGCCCCCCTCCACCCCCAGCTTATATATGCTGCTGTTACTGTACCGCCGTCATTGCTGCCGCCGCCGTTGCCGCTACACAGCCACCTCTCTTTTATTTACCTATACCTTTAGATAATGGAAGAAACGTGCGACGTGCGCGCCAAGTGCAGCAATGCCATCATATAGCCACCCATACACGTAGCAACTCACATACACACACACTCATATACATACATATAGGTATCGACAAGCCAGAAGAGGAGAAAGAACTGCATGTCCGTTATGCTCTAGCAGCCGCTCAGAGCTCGCTTAAGCTTTCTCTCTCTCTCTCTCTCTCTTTCCCTCTCTCGCTCGCTCCTCTCTGTGTTATAGAAGAAAATCCCGTTTTCTTAAAGGGAAGAACAGACTCACGGGCGCTTATTATACGGGCTGGATTATTCCCACGGGTTAAAGGATGTGGACTATCCATATAGCACGCGCACACACACAGATATCTATACGTGTGGCGCGCGACCTGTGTTTAGCCTGTACACACTCCTCCAAGAGTGATGATGATGTACAATATTTGTTTACGAGAGACACGCGTTTGTGTACCGCGATATTTTCTCAATGGATCCCGCTTAAATTGAGTTTCGATATACACAGCCGCGCGCGCGCGAAAGTCAAATGAATCGCATTTCGAATTACGCGTGGACCGACTTTTTAGTTATTGCATGAAGACCATATTCATTACATTTGTTCGCGGCCCGAGGTCGAACATGCATCCAAAAAAAAAAACAGTAGAAAATAATTCAAACCCACATGTAAAGGCGACGGAGCGCTCGATGAATACACCGCGCGTACAGTAGCAGCAAAAAAAGGGCCAAATCTCGAGCGAGCAACCACTCGAAACGTACCTCGACGCGCAGCGCGCATTTAAATACGCGAGCGCAATATGCGCATGGAAAGAGAGTCAGTCGTCCAATTACAAGCCGGCGTATTTGCTCGGCGCGGCAGGTGCGTTAAGTGTGCTGCAAGCGCGGCGCATTGTGCCGTCAACGCCACTGCGGTGTGTGTGTGCGGCCCAAAGGGGAGCCGCTCGCTCGCTCGCGTTCCACCAAAGCTCCTCCACTGCTGCATATACACATATAAGCGGACCGCCGCCACACTCGCGTAGCTTCGCGTGTCTGTACATAAATGTATAATCTCGTGTTTATATAAATACACACATATACACACCGCGAAAAATCTCCCCCTCGAATCTGTCATGCACCTCGATGCGCCCCTGGTATACACACGTTTAAACGTTGTAACGCGCACACGCGACTCGCCCATTTAGTGCGGAGCTTTCGCCGTGGACCTCGACTCAACGCAATTATGCATATAATATCGTAAGGCACGTGGACTACTCGTGAGAATATGCGAGTACTCCTTGTTTTTTTTTTTTTTTTTTATTATTGAAAAACAGACAAAAAAGTATAGGTCATTGAAAATTGAGAAGAGTTTCGAGCTTCGAAAGTAATCTCTCTTTCTTGTATAATATGAATCATACAATGTATACTCTGGTAGCTTCGAGGGTAGCAGCCGCGTGTGATGCTCGGCGATCGTGTAAGCTCATGCTGCTGGCAGCTCTGCGCATGGCACACGTAGAAGCTGCACATATTATGTAGAGCCGCCCTGTGCGCTGTATGCTGCACACAGCTGCACACACGGAACATGCACAAACGAAGTGCCGCCTGAAAAAATCGTGTCCTTTTCGCGCGAGAGATGTGCAACGTCGATATAGCTGAATGTGTGTATATACAACGCACACGTACTATACTAGTATGCAGCAGTCAGCACATACACATATACATACACATCGTTCCCACCGCGCGTATACATGTGTGCGTGCGTGTGCATTCACAAGTGTGTGCGCCTTCTACACACCACGAATACACCTATACACGGAGAGCACATGATACACTTGTATAAACGTTGTGTAGGAGAGAGAGAGAGAGAGAGAGAGAAAGAGAAAGAGAGATGGTCAATTTGCGTCAGCCCCAAAGGGGTAAGGCCGGCCACGGCGACGGCGGCACGATGTCATAGCCACGGCATAGAAACGTCTCGCTGCCTGACGAGCGCCCGAGCGCGAAATAAGATGTAGCCACGCTGATAACGACGACGTAGGCAACAGCAACAGCGAGAGCTTCGAGCACACACACATACACAAGTACATATATAGCACTTTTTACCCGATTCTCTCTTTCTCTCCGTCTTTGGCTTTTTCTCGCGGCAAGCTTATATGTGTACGCGAGGCGCACAAGGCTTCGTTTCGTCGCTACTTTGTTTCAATTTTTTTTTCCTCCTCGTTTTCCCCCGCGGGCACAGTATATATATAGTGCGCGCTCAATGTCATAAACTCTTCATTTCGTTCCACAGCGTGTACTTATATTAAACGCGAATTGCGTGAAAATGGGCAAAAGCGACAAAAAAAGCACGAACATAATATATTATATTATACTACACCGCGCGGATGCAAACATTGTTCTCCAATTACGGCGATTTCGCATATAAGTTGAATTTACGCAAGCCGATGCAACGGTAGCAGCCCGTATGACCGACTCTATGTTAGTTTATGCCTGTGTGTGTACACGTGTGTTTTCTACGAAAGCGCAAGTAATTAACGAGGTTACGCCAACTGCTACGCGCGGCAATTATCCAAAGGCGCGCGCTTGCGAGCTCCGATACGCAGCGTCGTCGCAACGTGTACACACATTTTCATAATATATACATATAGCCTGCCACACATATCTGTAAGTACATGCTTTAATCGAGTCTATAATATAATATGTACGAACATGCATGTATAATATAAGCATATATAGAGCCGAGGCGCTCGCTACGTGATAGGATAGCTCGATAAATCGACGAGTAGCTAGGCAGCAGCAGCAGCCCAGAGATCGCCGAGCACATAGCCAGCCAACCAGCTAGAGAGAGCAAGAGAGCGAGAGAGCGAGAACAAGCTATATTAGTGCTCCTGCAGGATTTTAATCGCGGCCCGATCTATTATATCTCGCGCGGGCGCTACCGAACAGTCGAGATAAAGTCGATGAATTACTATGATAAAGCGGCCTGCGCCTCTACCTATATATAGGTACCACAGCTCTAGCGCATGGCGTTTTTCACAACTATACGCGAGAGCACGTGTATTTACAATTTATAAGCTTTGAGCTGCTCTCGACGATGGCGCGAGCACGAAGCTTCTAAAGGGTGACTTTATTGATGCTGTCGCGACTGCTGCTGTGCAGGATCTTATTTTGTTGACTTGGATTCGGGTGTCAAGCTGTGGATTGGTAGAAATGAATTTTAATTTTTATTGCTCATTATTGTTAATAGGGTATACGAGACGATTCGGTTTGGGGCAAATGTAAATAAATACTTTATTTCGAGGCAAAATATTGACCATACGTTTATACTTGGATCTGTGTCGAAGTCAGTTAGTTTTAACAAGTTATTAAGAAACGGTTCACGTAGAGCTAAACGAGTACATTGGATAAATTTGTCAATCCATATTTAGTCAAAAAGAAAACGTAGCAATTTGCCAGAAAAATGGTTCACGAGAAACGGAAAGATTACGTGTGCGACGTGTGCCAACAAACATTTTCACGGCAGAACAATTTGTCAAGACACGACAAATTAGTTCACAAAAGACAAAGAGACTACGTATGTGATGCGTGCCTAGAAAAATTTACAACAAATCAGAACTTAATACATCATCGCAAAATAGTTCATGAAGGACGAAAAGATTACGTATGTAACGTGTGTCAAAAAGCATTTGGAAGCAATCACAACTTACAGACCCATCACAAAACCGTTCACGAAGGGCAAAAAGACTACTTATGCGACGTGTGCCCAAAAGCGTTTACAGTAAAACACAACTTGATACTTCATCTTAGATCAAGTCACCAAGGGAAAAAAGACTACTTATGTGACGTGTGCCCAAAAGCATTCACATCAAAACAGAACTTGATACTTCATCTTAGATCAAGTCACCAAGGGAAAAAAGACTACTTATGTGACATGTGCCCAAAAGCATTTACATCAAAAAGAAACTTAACACTTCATGTCAGATTAATTCACGAAGGGCGACAAGACCACGTTTGTGATGTGTGTCAAAAAGCATTCACATCAAAACACAACTTGATACTTCATCTTAGATCAAGTCACCAAGGGGAAAAAAACTACTTATGTGACTTGTGTCCAAAAGCATTTACAACAAAACAAAACTTAACACTTCATGTCAGATTAATTCACGACGGGCGAAAAGACTACGTATGCGACATGTGTCTAAAAATGTTTATAACAAATATGAACTTAGAACGTCATCGTAAAACAGTTCATGAAGGACGAAGAGACTTCATATGCGACGTGTGTCAAAAAGCATTTGGAACCAATCAGTACTTGACAAAACACAAGAAATTAGTTCACGAAGGAAGAAAAGACTTTGTTTGTAACGTGTGACCAAAAGCGTTAAAATCAAAACAGAACCTAAAACTTCATGTCAGATCAAGTCACGAAAGACGAGAAGACTATGAACGCAACGCGCACAAAAAAAAATTGGAAGAATACAGCCGTTAACATCGCACCATAAAATGATTCACAATGGACAAAAGAATGACGAAATGATACACGAAGGTGTCGATAATCACAAATGCGAGCAATGTCAGAAAATCTGTTGATGCATGTAAAAGTTTATGAAGACTCAATTGCAGAGACTCGTAATGTCCATGATCAACTTTTGCCCGAAACATTCAAACTCCAAATTAAATAATCAAAATTTGTACTATTGATGAAGACAAAAAACAACAAGAAAGCGATGTTTGCCATGAAAAATTCTCTCAAAGACGCCAATTAATGATACACATATTTGCTATTCATCGAGCTGATTTAGTATTGCGCAGTTTGTATGCTGGAATAATATAAACAGTAATATAACGCACACTTCAAAATTCATCATCAATTATAGGACTATGTGATTTTAAATACGTAAATAATAATATACTTTTGAGTTCATGTACATTTGAATTCTACAAGTAAATAACCATAAATCATCAAATGATGCGTATTTAATTTTGACATTATTAAATGTAACGCTTTTTAGTTGCACTTGGAATTAAACAGACCTGAATTGTGACCTATCATTTCATCTTTAATCACGTCATTAAAATTAATCTACTTTGAATGTAAATGTATCAATAAATTTTACTATTTTAAATTTTAATATTTTGTATTCGCAGACATTACGCTAGCAAATGATAAGGGTTCATTACCAGTGGGTCGCAATAATTTCGTAGCAGCAAATAGGCAACATAAGCGCCGCTGAAAAGCTCGTAAATCGTCGTTAAGCGTGTCGACGACGCGGTCCTTCGCGAAGCTGTGGGAAAATTGAGTAACCTAGTCTACTCGTACGAATGCGCCGCGAGAAGCTCTGCAAAAGTAGCATTCCACCGGATAAGTTCGACAAAGTTTACCGGGGGGACTCCGAGTTGTAGACGGTGTAGCGCGATAAGTCGCTGGAAATAAACTTGGAAATAAACACGAGGAAGTGCAGCGCGTTGATTTTTTGCTCTAGCCCCGAGCCACAGTGAGTCGAGAGACGAAATGCGTAAAAGAGTACGCGTACTTACGCGCGGTCGAGTAATTAATGCCGAGCCGCGCGCACGACTCTTGATAAAGCGAAAAATGACACTCATGGCACTAAATCAAGTGCACTCCGCGGTTCACTCTTGGTTCAACAATACATCGTTGGCGTCATCGAAAAACTCGAGCAAACGTTTTGATGTCGGTGACTGCTTTTCTCTAAAAAATGACTATCACTGCGGTAAAAATGTTTAGCATTAATAATAGGCTGATGGCCATAAATGGTAATTTAATCGTTTCAAAAAACTTTTGCCATATATTTCAGCCTCTTGAAGAAACAGCGAGATAGAAAAGACTATTTACAAGTACTGAAATGCTTAGATGCAAGCTTTATACAATTCAATTTACTCGAGTCTTGAGCGGTGCTGATGGTTTGATTTTTCATCCCCGTGCGCGTGTACATATAATACGCAGGCGCGATTGCGTTTCATCGATGCAATCGCCGAAAAACTAGACGATGTAAATTTTCTAAAATTTAATAAGCCTCGCGCGCTTGCAAGAAGTAAGATCTCTAATATGTATACGTAAAGCCTCGTCTTGGTTAGCGCAACGAGATCACGCACAGGTGGCCAGAAGACCGATGGTCACGCGAGCCTCCGCTGTATAGAATATCGGATCCTCGCTGTAAATAAGGCGGCGGTGGCAACGCGCGAGCTTGGCAAACTACCGCCGGCGCGTGTGGATCACTGCCTGTGTTGTTGCGCTGCTGCAGTATTTGTGTGTGTGTGTCTGTGTGTGTAAGTGCGTCTTTCCGTGAGCGCGATCGTGTTTCGCTCTGCGTTAGCTGCTGCCGCTGCGCGTGCATCGCTTAATTGGCCGCAGAGCGGAGCGTATACAACACGGCCCGCGCGCGCATACACAAAGCTCGCTACCAAAGGAGTAAAAAAAGTCCACCGGAGAAAAGTTGATTTTCGCTCGGAGATTATATTATATTATTGCGTGATTTTGGTCTTGTGCGCGCTTGAAGCTGGGAAAAAGTAGCAGCCGCGCGGCTGCTACTAGTAGTAGTAGTCGTAGTAGTAGTAGTAGCTCGAGTCGTTGTAATTGCTCGTTTTTCGGTGCCTGACTGGCGTGGATCGACCGCGTTCCTTTTCGAACTCGAATTTCCAAGCCGCACTCGCGCAGGTGCATACGTAGATGTATATAAACGCGCGTAATCGCCCGGGGAATTATGCGATGATATTATTACATAATTACGATGTTAGAATTTGCAGATTAACGACCTTATATTGCGCGAGCCTATTCGGATCATGCGCCGTACGCTCAGCCGTACTATATTTGCTGCTCATAATATGCATGCGCGACGCCGGAAATTACACGTTCGCGGCCATACAGGGCTGATTAACTTTTATCGATGATTAGCAACGGCGCTGCCGCTGATGCGCAGCTTCGCGAACTTGAAAATCTGTAATAATGTCGAGTCCGCAATCAGACCCTGCGCATACGGGACATTATTTGTATAAGGCCCCGGCGAACGTTCAATTTTCCATCATCGCGTGAGTGATTCCGCCCGACGGGTGGTCTTTTTTCGACGAATTCGCGTATTATACATGCCTCCTGCCTGCATGTATACGCTCGAAATTATATCGCGTGCTAATTCTGCGCGCCTGACCAACGAGCATCATCATCGAAGCTCGAGATCTGCTTCTGCTCACTCTCGGGCGCGCGCACATTGTAAATTGACGAGTGTGACGCGCGTCGGCAGCAGCAGCAACGTGTAATCTCATCGTTACCGAACGGTACATTCGCGAATGGGATGCGCCGATGTATAGCAACGTTGGGCGAATTCTTGGAAGTACTGCGTGAATGATTTGCCCTCGTGGCAATTGGAGCAGCGTTGAAATTCACGAGAACGGAGTAGAGGCGTTGTCACCCCATTTAGGTATGTTATTTTTCACGAAAACACCCGATCATTCGAACGTTACATTTTTAAACATGGAACCCATATTTTTTGTTGAAATGCCTCCTGCTTGAATGGTAATCATAATTGCAATGATAATTGAAAATACCCTACCGATGCAAAAATTATACACTCTCTGATTTTGCTAAATGGATTTTTGATGACCAAAAAATAAAGGGAAAGTTGAAAGGGAAAATTTTCGTATAATAAACGATGTGTAAACACTTATAATGAATTAGTTCCTTTTTTTTCTTTTGTTAACTTTTCAATTTCATGAATTAACATTCCCAAGTTAATTACTAGTTGCAATCTTGGTTGCAGAATACTGAGCAGATATAGGTATATGAATAATACGACACGATACGAGTCGGCAAAGTCACTCGCGTTGGGAAAAATGATCCCGTGATAGATCAACGCCATTATCCAAAAATATATCGACGATAATCGTCAAGAATCTCGCCACTGCCCATTGAAGCGATGTTTGGCCCAATTTGTTCTGGGCATTGGCAGGGACCGTTTGATGTATGAGGTCGTCGGTTTTGAAGAATTTCTTCACCAAATCGTCATATATAATTTTATTGCAACCAAGGGGAATAACAACATCATTGATTAAAAAGCATGACACACGCATTTCATTTATACAATTATTTTCCCTTTGCCACTTGCAGATTCACAGAAAAATGTACTCGCCATCTAGTGGTGAAGGTTGGCTTTAATTATAATTGAGTTTTAATACATTTTTTGTAAAATTTATGCAAAGACTAAATCACTATTCAATCATTACATACTATATCATCAGATAAAATTTACCGATCGTATATAATACCGCGAACTTTTTTGCGAAGCTAATATCCAGCTCGAGCTTTAGTTTGCACCCACGTGCACACCCTATAAGATTCGCGCGTGCCTTATTACCAGTCCGAGTCGTATGCACACGTATATAAACGTACTTACGTACACATATAGGATGTATCTTATGCATTATGCATTGCGCACGAGCCGTACGTGAAATCGGACAGTTTGAAAAGGAAAATTTTTCAACTCTCTCGCACTCTCGAGCGTTTTGATGAACGAGCGAATCGTGAGCTAGCGCGAGTTCTCGCGGGGGTACGGCCGTTCGTCTGTGTGTATGTATGTGTGTGCACGGGCTGCAAGTCCCGCACGTATTGGGTTACAATTTGTTGAACCGACGCAGCAGTTCGACGTTACACTACGTGATTTTTCGCCCAATAAGCTCGCTCGCGCACACATCCTCGGAATCAATCAACTTAGCGATCGATAATTCATCATCTCGGTCGCGCGCGCATTTTTATGAAAAAAATAAAAAAGCTCGCCGAGAGTCAGCTGCGTACTTATTTTCTTAGTAATCTCTCTACACGTACGCATACACGCTTGCACGCTTTTAACAGATTAACATGTTAATTTTGCGCGCGGTAAAATTCTTACCGAGCAAATAATTAAACTTTCTTTCATTAATCACTGCAGCAGCTCTCTGTCAGAGATGTGCGCGCGCGCACAAGAGTATCAAAAAATTAAAAAAGAAAAAAACCCCAAAGAAGTCGTCGCTCACGTGCTCGAACACGTGTATATACGCGGTGCACATATACATTTCGAGCCCCTTGTAGAAAAACGACGTCGCGTTCGCGCGAACAACCAATCTCACGCTGTTATCTCATTCTCGCGCTCTCGAGCTGTATCTTATGTACGCACACGCACTCGGCGTATTATATCCTCGTGGCGCCTCGGAAACAAACTTGACGAATCACCACTTCTCTCCCTCGTCCGACTCCGAACGCGTATTACATACACACATACGCGCGCACGCGTACATAGAATACATACGGGGGCTTTAAAAGATGAACATGCGCGCAAAGAGAAAAAAGTTTTTTTTCAGTAGAAGTAAATCGCAAAGCTCTCCCACGGCTGACTCGCTACTCCGGCTCTGCGCCGCGTGCACAGTTGTCTGCATGTTGTGTACGCGATAGGCTTGCAAATGACCCTGGCTGACCTTTAGAAAACGAGAGAGACTCTGCGTGCGCAGGATGAACTTGACTAGCTAGAGCAATAATTATTATGCCCTGTAAGAGAGGAAGAAAGAGAGAGAGAGAGAAAGAACGAGCGAGACGCATTGGTAGACGGGCACGCTTGTGCAGGTGTTCGCCTTGCGAGCGCGCGCCGTTTATACAATATATACGTATAGGATAGGATTTACGGGTATAAAGAGGCAACTTTGCCGAGCGCGCACGCATATAAGCCGCTGCTGCTGCTGCTGCTCGAGCAACGAGAGACTATTCTGATTGGACTCCAAAGAATTTGGATTGGAAACGGTAAAAAGTCGCACCATGCGGCATTATAAACTTGCACCTCTCGCGCACCCAATGGGCTACTGAAAATTTACGATCGTCCGAGCCAGCCGCAAGTGCAACGTATATGTATACGTAGACGCGCGATGGTGCGCACGGGCTTTGAAAAACGAATAAATCGAGGGCGCCGCGCACTGCACATGGCTTCGATCCGGTGCGTTTGTGTGCAGGGAAACAAATTTGTCGCGTTTTATCTGCATGCGAACTCTTCGAGAATCGAGCGGCGTACATGTACGTTTCTTATCGGCAATTGAGTGAAAAGAGAGACACTAAAATTGATCCGTCATCGTCGTGCATAGTCTCGGAATAACTTTTTATCTGTATTATTGGTCAAATCAAGTTGAAGTCATGTTATTTACAGGTCAAGTGTACCTGTTAGAAACTCTTAACATTATGTGGTTAGTTTTTGACAAGTAAACAATTTATTCGACATTAATTTCAGCTTATTTCATCTGCAGTGCTTTAACTTATACAAGTTTTTGTACTTTACCACTTACAGATTTACATATTAAGGAACTCGCCATCTAGTGGTGGAGACTAAAAGTGGTATTATCGTAAAGTAGTATTTTCATATTAAAGTGGTCGAAAGCTCGTCTGAATTTTTTCAAAAACATTAAAATGATCTTGCAGAATGCGGCATGAATATAATTGATCAATAAACTTATGCAATTACTTCGACTTTGCTACTTGCAGATTTACAAATAGAGATACTCGCCATCTAGGGACGAAAGCTAAAAGTGATATTTTCGAATTTAAAGAGGTTGAAAACTGATCAAAATTTCGTTTAAAAATTGAATTGATACATTTTCATGAATGAAAATTCTAAAACTTCTACAAGAGTGTTTGTATTAAACACAAGAAACAATTTTTTTTTTAATTTTTAAACTGTACTACACGTATTAATTTAAAAAACTTTCACATTTCCAATTACTAAAATGATTTTCCTCTTTTGCCTGATTACGGACTTTAGGAGCACTAGCCTCTCTCGGCTTATCCGCAATATTGCACACGAGACGATCGGTATAATTAAATGATAAAATGCCGCAGCTACTTCGTATCGCATTCGGGCGTGTGGACCAAAAATACGCCGCGTACGCTAGCTATACGCGACTATTATCTTGTTATTCGCAAGCGCCGAGAGGTCGCAGATTAGAAAAATTCAAGGGAGGCTTGCCGTATGTTCCAGCAAAATTTTTTTTCTTTATGCCGAGTCACTTCCACTGTACCACGTGCCGGCACTGAGAGCGATTACACTTTTATTTTGGCTATGTATTGATATTATCACTCCGTCGAGATGCAGTATACACTGGCTTTCGTTCGGTCGTCCAAGGTTTTGTCCAGGCGATTAAAAAAACAGAAAAAAAAAAAAAATAATCGCGCTGCGGATTGAAGACAGAATTACTCGGGTGGCGATAAGTAAATTTTAGTCGCATAATGAGTAACAATTGATGGAATATGTGTGGCATGTGTACCAAAAGTGCTGGTGCACAGATAGCAAGAAAAATATCCGCAGACAGATGAACTCGAGAACCGAGATCCAATCCATCGGTCTGTAATTTTCACGCTCACGTGTGCGGCGGCGGCGGCGACGGCGGCGACTAAGACAGCGTGTAATTACGCGGCATTTACGAAGATAACTAAACTGAAACGATGCCGTAATAATCATGCAAGTCTCATTAAACGATCGGTCGTAATAATATTGTGCTCTGGCTCTCACTCTCTCGCGAGAAGTCAGTAGCGATAAATCGATTAGTCGTTCATTCCAGATCGAACCGACGCTTATTGGCAATTTATTTATATACATCCAGCAGCATACACCGAGTGATCTAATGTACTGATTTCCTTCTCTCTTCCTTTTTTTCATACAAAGGCGACTAAACATGGCGGGGCAAAGAAGACTCGACTAATCTCGAAAGACACGCGGTCGCCGCATGATAATAAAGTCGCACGCAGAAGCAGAAGCAGCAGCAGCTTATGCACAGATTCAACCGTGGAGCGTTTCATAAATTTCGCTCACCCTCGTGGTCAAGTTCTATACACGAAACTCGTAAAGCACGCGTACACCTCTATATACGCGTGTATATTATACAGTGTTATAATGCACGTGTGCGTCCGGCCTCGACTCGTGCTCGAGCTCGATGATCGGCACGCACCGTCACACATGCAACGCACATGCACGGGCGCACACGCTTACCGTAATAATAATTATTTTACAAAAGCTTAGCAACGCGTACACACACACACACACACACACACACACACATCCGAGTGACAAAGTGATTGATCGACGCTTGTACATATAATACGCGAGCGAGAGCTGCGCAGTGCACGCGAATCTCCATCGCCGCGGCAGTGCAGTGCGCTGCACATCGCTAATAAGCGATGCAGCGCCGAGCGAAGGGTGCGGGAGAGAGAGAGAGATTTGCGTCAACGAGAAGAGGCCGTGGAAAAGGCGATAACGATAACGAGCGCGCGCTCTCGAGTGCAGTAATACGTGCGAGCGAGAACGAACGAGAGAGAAAAATTGATTGGATTTATATTTTTGCCGGTTTTGCGTCGTTTCTCCTCTTCTCGGCACCTCGCGCGCACGGGACGTTTATTTTATGAAGAGGAGAGAAGCCTTTCGTGCTCCGTGTGTCAGAGCAACGTTTGATGCGTCTATATAGTTGTGGACCGTGGCTGGCTTAGATCGCTTTATTATGAGATCTTTTAGCGATGAAATATATTCGTTTTTACGAGGCGATGAATCTGTATTATTCTAATAACCAATTGAAAAACACTCGAGGCTTTGGCGATCAAGTATTTTTGAAGTTAAACGTTTTATTTTTATCCGTTCACGAGGCAATGAATAGCCCGCGTAATTGCGTGCTCGATATACGGCGAACTCGGCCCAGGTGCGCTCTCTTTTTTGTACCGTTATCAATCACGCTCAAGTTTTTCCCTGAATATCGATTCTCTTCTCTCCTCTTTTTTTTTCTTTTATTTCGACGACATTGAGTAAGAGCCGCGGGTTTACAATCTGCTCTGCAGCAGCGAAACACGAGCGAGAATCACGGAGTGCAGCAATATCTTACGAAATGCAGGCCCTGCTCGCAAAACAACGAGGAGAATACCAGCGAGAGAGCGAGAAAGAGCGACACACAGTATGTGCATGCGGTGATTTACTTCGATTACGCGAATCCGCTAAGCGCGAAGAACGTATACGTACGAACGCGAAATCAGCCCGAAAAAAGAGAGAGAGAAAGACAGCAACAACAACAACAACAACGAATGGTAAATAATAGACGTTGAGTAACGAATTGCCACGGAGATTAGAGAGAGAAGCCTCAACGACGAATCCCTCGGATTTTCGCGATGCTTTGTTTCGATAATTTTGCCAAGATTAAGGCCCGTGACATCCCGTGTGTCTTTTTTCATTTCTCCTCTTTAATAGAATATGGTTTATCTTTATAATAGTCGCGTGTGCGGTTGGTGCACATGCCTCGCATGCATATACACACACACACATACACCAGCTCTTTCTCGTACATAAGCTATGTGGGTGTCAGCGCGCGAATATATACCGTCGACAATAGTTCGCGATTCGACACACCCCGAGAGCGCACACGCCAGCTCGCGGAGAGAGATAACCCGGATATTTTACCGCTGCGGTGGCTCCTCCCTTCACCCAACGGCTGTTCATTGTTTTATATATGCCGTATAATAGTAGTGCACCACGCACGCACATACACACGTACACGAACAACCTTGCTCCACTCGCTAAACCATATATTTTAGCGTATAATATAGTATCTAGCGAGCGTAACGCGATCTTCCTTTCTTTCTTTCTTTTTTTTTGGTTTTTGTTGAATGAAAAGTTTCAATGAAGCTTCGGGGAGCTAACTAAATTGTATTTATTTACAAATTGATTATGTATTTACAGAATTATACTATTTGTTAAACGTTCATTTGCACAGACTTAAAAGTAACAATTATTTTGTACAACACGTGACTTTGTTTTCACCATTGGAGATAGGACATGGGATTTTTACACAACCAACGAAGATCATCGTCACGAGCTTGCAACAGTCTCGCACTAACCTACTATACATATTACGCGCTACACACGTCGACGAGTTAAGAAAAAAAAGAACACAAACAAACAAACGAAGCACTCATACACTACACGGTGAAAGCCTGCTTTCTCGAGCAGTTCGCGCCGTCGGCGTCCAGCACGTCGTTAAAACTGCACTTGCAAACTCGCCTCAGACTGTCGGCGGATCCGCCGCTCGGCACCGCGAAGCAGTACTTCTCGCAGCCGCCGCGATTGTCCTTGCACGGATGGTCCTTGCGTATCTTCTGGCTCTTGTAGGCGACGGCGACGATCTCGGTGATGGGCGCCTCCTCGTCGTTCACCAGCTCGTAATCCGTGTCCGGGATCTCGCTCGACTTCTCGATGCGCCTCACCGTGTTGCTCTCCGCCGCCTTGTAGTACACGTAGTGCTTGTCGATCGCGATGGTCTTGGAGGACAGATCCGACTGGCCGTAGTACACCCGCACGCCGCCGATCGTGCGCACGTCCTTGCCGTCGAGATTCGAGTGCTGTATGCGATTTTTGCCCGGCAGACTCCAGTAGAGTCGGTCGCCGTGGAAGTCCACCACCATGCTGGCGATGTGGTAGCGGCTCTCCTGCTTGGGACGCTGGAACTCGACGATGTTCGAGCCGTCCAGGTGGGCTCGTAAGATTTTGTTCTGCACGCCGTACCAGAAGCTTTTCTCGACGAAAAACAGGTAGCCCTTGTTGGGATGCACGGCGAGGGTCGTCAGCTGCGATCTGTCGTGAATGACCACGGTGGGGTTCCAAGGATTCTCGGCGTTCACGGCTATCATAAGGCTCCTCACGCCCATGATGATGTAGAGATTCTTCGTGACCCAGTCGTAGGCGACGTCGCGAAAGTCGTCGTCCTGGTCGAGTATCGACTCCCAGTTGGTGTCGTTGAGCCGCACCTTGTACAGGCGCGAGTGATCGACGTTGGCGATCTTGGCCCAGTAGATGAGGGTGCCGTTGCGCGCGTCGTAATTCAGGCCGCCCACCACCGACTCGGGCCTGATCTGCTCGGCGTACTTGCGGTCCACGTGGTAGTTCGTCTGCGAGCTGTTCTCGTGCTGTATGTGACAGATGCCCGGCAGACTGTTGGTCATGAGGAAAAAGTTCGGCCTATCTTCCACGTGCTTCTTGTCTGCGAAAAATGCAACGAAAGAGCCGATTCGTTACTATATTGGAGCAATGTGTGCATGTGACGCGTTGCGCTCGCCGAGCGAGATAATATTATGCAGAAGCTGTTTATCGAGAACTATAATTCAGAGAGAGAGCGCGAATGACGCGCGAACGTATGTATATTAATGCATGCAGCACGATGTGTTTACTACTCTTCTTTTGACGGACGTCTAGACGCCTTGAATGCGCCATCCTGAATGCACCGATAAAATGTATTTTTTTCGCGTTTACATTCAGGCTGCACGTACGGATGATTGAAGTCATTGATGAATCGATAGAAAAAATAATCACCGAGTATCACATCGTGCCAAAGCCTACATCAATAAACTTTGTGAAATAAAGAAAAAAACTTACATTTGAGATCGCATCCATGCGAGTTGACTGCGTTCGCGAAAAATTCACTGGACAACGAGGCCGACGCGACAACGGCCAGGAAAATCGGCAGTACTTGGCGTTGTTTCATCGTGCTTTTCGTACAAAAAGTGCCAGAAATGTGTGTATGCACAACGAAGATTCGAGACTGTACGCGCGAAGAAAAAGATATTCGAGCGAGAAGCGGCGCGTCGGTTATATTATATTGCAAAGGCGACGACTCGCGCTCCGAGAATGAGAGCTTCTCTGTGAATCGGTACACGTTTTAAATAGATTATAATACGCGAGCGTGAATGTGTGCGTGTTGTTGTACGCGAGTACGCGCCTACCGAAGGGGTTATCATCGCGTCTTCGCCGACGCTCCGCTCGAGAGAGAAAGAGAGAGAAAGAGAGAGAGCCAATTGATATTATATAAATGATGTTTTGAAATGTTTTTTTTGCTCGGTTTATACTATACCGAGTATTGTGTACGCTATCGAGTATCTCGAGCCCCGCGGCTTCTATCTTCGTGCGAATCGTGCGCGAAGCTGGCAGATACATACAAGGCGAACGGGGGGCTTACATGGAATCGTTTTGGAATTTCCAAAAACTCATAAAAAGCGTTTCCGAGCTTTTATAATAATCACTCGTTCTGCGCTTACGCCGCCGTTTCCCACTTTTCGCGCAAAAAATTTCGATGTTATTTGTGTACAACGTCTATCGCGCGCAGTAGACGATACTCTTGCGAACAACCGTTTTGCTCGCGTGTGGCATAATGTTGTGTGTGCGTACGTGTGTACAAACGAGCTGTGTTCGGAAAAATTGACGTGGTTAATGACGCATGCTAATGGACTAAAAACGTCATTATACGAATGCAATTTCGCTAATTCGAATACCCTTGAATGATTCGAAGGAGAAGAGATAAAACGAAACGCCTATAGACAACCAAGATTTATCGATATCATGGATGCTATGTGACCTACTTATTATATACGTGCACATATATCGCCGCTACAAATCATCGATGCTGCATACGAGTGTGCAACGTCGATGTTAACGTATATATGCCCACATCATCCCATTGTCTTCGAGATTTCGCTGTAACGTCGCTCGATGTGTGTACCCCTTCGCAAAAATATTCTCCGCTGCGCGATTTTTCCCCGCCGCGCTTGAAAAAAATTCACTTTCGTTCTTGCGCGCGCGCGGCGGAGAACATTTTTTCGTTTTTCATCCTTGTATATACCCGGCGTAAAGTCGCGCGCTAACTAAGTGTTTTCTATGCGCAGCCTCGGCACACGGCGCGCGCGCGCGATCAAGTTTTCGAAACAATAAATTAGCATGCGCGCCGAGGGGATTTTCCGATGCGATCCGAGAGAGAGACTGGCCGTTTGCATAGACTTACAGCGTGCAGTCCAGAAGGAGAACAAGGCGTGAGATTGTCTATCGGGTGCACACACGACGTGCCGCGCTACTACCACCTCGTGAGGCTTCTCTCTTTCTCTCTCTTGCTCGTTTGCTCGCTCGCACAGCCTAACGAGGCGTGGAAGAAGAAATAGGAAGTTTCGCGGATGTCGCAGTGCACACATACACATACACGCGCGCTTACAAGACGATTATTATCGATGATCGTGTGTGTGTGTTTGTATACCCATATAATATAAACATGAATAGACGAGGAAATAAAGCATTCAACCTCCGATTTTTGAACAGTAAGTCGGATTGAGATGCGGTTTTCGGCATTCGATTCGGGAGAGCGTCTAGAAACTTTGTGAACAAAATTTATGAGGGACAAATGAAAATTTGCACCCCGGGGGTGCAATAAACGCATTTCAGGGATGCATCTTGAACTCACGACTTGGTCAATATGTGTATTTCACTAAATATCGGTAAAAATGAGTCTAATTTCTGCCCTCGGGGGTTTTTGGGGTCGCTGAAAACGAATATCACAACGAAAATGTACCACGATGTACTTGGGGCCCAGGGTGACTCTTGTATACCTCGTCTCCTGGAGTTTCATGGTAATATTTAAGATATCTCGTTGAAACTCGTTACTCAGGGGTTTTTGGGGTCGCTGAAAACGAATATCACTGTGAAAATGTTCTACCATGTACCTGGGGCCCAGGGCGGGCCCTATATACCTCGTCTCCTGGAGTTTCATGGTAATATTCAACATATCTCGTTGAAGATCGTTACTTAGGGGTTTTTGGGGTCGCTGAAAACGAATATCACAACGAAAATGGTTTCCAAAGTATCTGGCGCCATGTCAGGTATTATACATTTTGTTGTTAAAAAAATTTCAATATCAAATTTATCAATTCTTGTTTCACCGTCATCTGAGTTAATTGAATTTTCAAATGAACCTGGGAATTTCCGTTTTTTCATTTCACTACCACTGATAATTGTCTTTATATAATTCAAACGACATTTTTCATGAATTTTCACACTAGTTTCATCTTGAATGTGGTTAAACAGACCGTCATTTTTAGTTTCCGACGATATCTTGCATATACTAGCAATCCCTCTCGTTTTGACATCTTTTAATACATTATTAACATCCGACTTTAGTGGCCAATTTTTCACGTACTTGCAAATCACGCAATCTTCGTCGATATTTACATTAGCCATTCTATAAAAATGTAATTAGAATCAATCAACGATCACAAGAATTTCACAAAATATTCTCTAAAACGAGTCGATGAAAAAAAAAAATTTGTTTCAAAATTAATATATGAGAAATTTAATGAAATGGACAACTTATCTCATGAAAGTAGCTTCAAAATAGTGTGATACAGTTCAAGTATATATCAACATTGATAAAATCGTCACTAAGCACTCGCTATAACTGTTGAATATTTCGTAAAAACAAACGAAATTATTACAAATCCACAAATTAAAGCATAAGATTAATTGACCATATCGACTGTAAAACTGTATAACAGTAAAACTCGAATGAAAACATATACTCTTATTCTCTTTGTTATTGTTATTACGAATGAAATTATCAAAACCAACTTTCAAAATTAAAAGTGATTTTTGTTTTATAACTTGTATACAAACAACCAAGCGAAATAAATTAAATATTTACAATACAACTTTAGAAGACAAAATGATTAGGGCCCGCCCTGGGCACCAGGTACACGGTAATACATTTTTACAGTGATATTCGTTTTCAGCGACCCCAAAAACCCCCAAGTAACGAGCTTCAACGAGATATGTTGAATATTCCCATAAAACTCCAGGAGACGAGGTATATAGGGCCCGCCCTGGGCCCCAGGTACATGGTAGAACATTTTCACAGTGATATTCGTTTTCAGCGACCCCAAAAACCCCTGAGTAACGAGTTTCAACGAGATATCTTAAATATTACCATGAAACTCCAGGAGACGAGGTATACAAGAGTCACCCTGGGCCCCAGGTACATCGTGGTACATTTTCGTTGTGATATTCGTTTTCAGCGACCCCAAAAACCCCCAAGTAACGAGCTTCAACGAGATATGTTGAATATTCCCATAAAACTCCAGGAGACGAGGTATATAGGGCCCGCCCTGGGCCCCAGGTACATGGTAGAACATTTTCACAGTGATATTCGTTTTCAGCGACCCCAAAAACCCCTGAGTAACGAGTTTCAACGAGATATCTTAAATATTACCATGAAACTCCAGGAGACGAGGTATACAAGAGTCACCCTGGGCCCCAGGTACATCGTGGTACATTTTCGTTGTGATATTCGTTTTCAGCGACCCCAAAAACCCCCGAGTGCAGAAATTAGACTCATTTTTACCGATATTTAGTGAAATATACATATTGACCAAGTCGTGAGTTCAAGATGCATCCCTGAAATGCGTTTATTGCACCCCCGGGGTGCAAATTTTCATTTGTCCCTCATAAATTTTGTTCACAAAGTTTCTAGACGCTCTCCCGAATCGAATGCCGAAAACCGCATCTCAATCCGACTTACTGCTCAAAAGATCGGAGATTTGGCCTTTTTTTGTGCTTTATTTCCTCGTCTAGAAAACTCCGACTCGCAGCTTGGCGGCTTATTTAAATTATCTTGTTAACATGAGGTTTTAAGCTGGTTTTACAGGATGAGATGGATGATAGCGTGCGCCGTTGTTAGCGTCGAAGTGCACTACTATTTCGCCGTTTTTGCATACACCGCGCGATGACGAGTTGGTGCGATTGCGCACCTTTGATATTGATATTGTTAATGTGATAAAATAGAATTTTTTTACTAAACATCTTCGTTTTTTTTATTGTTGCAGGTGAGTACATGAGAAGCATTGGAATGCATACGAACAATTTTCGTAAGTAGTCTTCTAAACAATATTCTAAGCAATAGAAAATTTTCGTTATCGTTCACGAAATTGAAAAATATATAAAGTAACCATATGCCACAGGGTAAAGCTGATTTTAGTTGAACCAAGCAAATTTAATTGTGAAGCGAGTTTAAGAAGGTGTAACAACTATCGTTAGTAAGAAAAGATCAAGTATAAACAAAGTCCATAATTATTCCGTCTAGATGATATCTTGTATACAAATATACACAGCATATTGGTTCTCGCATTTAAAATCCAAATCAATACAAAGTAGTATCTATCTTGAACGTTTATTACCTGTGTAAGAAGCAAAATTCAAATCAAAGTTTTAATTTCTTCTCTTTTTCAACTTGAATCGTCTGCATTTATCAAAATCAGTAAAATTGAACGTAAAAATGTTAAAGATGAAAAGATCGTAATGGTAAAAATAAGTTTTTACACAATTAATGATGAATTTTTGATAATCAACAAAATTTGATGGACGAATAAAAGAGCAAAGACAACGTCGTATGTGTACAAGCGTATAATTGAACAGATACATCATGCATGTCACACCTATTCAAGAAAAACAAAAAGACTACGTTGACGAAGGGTGCCAACAAACATTTGTACAGCAGAGCCACTTGAAGCAACACAAAAAAACAGTTCATGAAGAACCAACGAAACACATTTGCGACCTATGTCCAAAAGCTTTTAGAAGAAAATATCAATTGACAGTTCATCGCAGAACTGTTCACGAAGGACGGAAAGACTACGCATGCAATGTGTGTCAAAAAACGTTTTCAAAAAATCAGAACTTAACACTTCATTTACGAACAGTTCACATAGGACGAAAAGACTACCAATGCGATGTGTGCCATCGAATGTTTACACAAAATCGGAGCTTACAGATTCATCACAAAATTGTTCACGAAGGACGAAAAGACTACTTATGCGACGTGTGTCCAAAATCGTTTACACGGCAACACAATTTATCGCTACACAAAAGATCAGTTCACGAAGGACGAAAAGATCACATTTGCGACATATGCCAACAAGCGTTTACATCAAAACAGCACTTAGAAACTCATCGCAAAAGTGTTCACGAAGGACGAAAAGACTACATATGTGATGTGTGTCAAAAAGCATTTTCACAAAAAATCCATTTGACGAGACACCAAAAATTAGTTCACGAAGGACGAAAAGACTACTTATGCGACGTCTGTAAAAAAGCGTTTAAAACTGATCAGCACTTAAAACGTCATTGCAGAACCATTCATGAAGGACGAAAAGACTACGAATGTGCCGTGTGTCAAAAAACATTTTCACAAAAAATCCATTTGACGAGACACCAAAAATTAGTTCACGAAGGACGAAAAGACTACTTATGCGACGTTTGTCAAAAAACATTTTCTGATCGGAACAATGTGATGGTTCACAAAAAAACGGTTCATGAAGGACGAAAAGATTACGTATGTAACGTGTGTCAAAAAGCATTTGTAAGCAATCGCAGCTTACAGACTCATCACAAAACCGTTCACGACGGGCAAAAAGACTACTTATGCGACGTGTGCCCAAAATCGTTTACAGCAAAACAGAACTTAATACTTCATCTCAGATTAAATCACGAAAGACGAAAAGACTATGAATGCAACGCGCAAAAAGAAAAGTTTGATAGAATACAAATGTTGACATCACACCACAAAATGGTTCACGATGGACAAAAGAATTACGAAATGATGCGCGAAGGTATCGATAATCACAAATGCGAGCAATGTCAGAAAGCGTTTGGCAGAAAAGAAAATTTGTTGATGCATATAAAAGTTCATCAAGAGTCAGTTGAAGAGACACGCGATTTATATGATCAACCTTTGCCTGAATTATCTTCCCCGATGAGACACTTGATAAACCCCAAATAAAACAAACGTTTTGTACTATTCATTAAGACAAAAAACAACGAGAATGCGATGTTTGCCATGAAAAATTCTCTCAAAGGCGCCAATTAATGATGCACACATTTGCTGTTCACCGAGCGATTACATGAACTTTATGAAGATGTTAACCAACTCAACAAAGTATAAATGATATAAAAAATTGAAATTTTTCGAAACATTTAATTAATTAATTCATGTACAATATGTATTAAAATGGATAAATAGATCTGTATTCTCTTACAAAAGCGGTGATACGAAAAAAAAATTATAAATAACAACGAGTGATGTACTCTGCATCATTGACGTCAATTATTATGTCTGTACTATTAATAGATGATAAAAAATATTCATAAAAATATTTGCTTACATTCTGAATACACTGGTGGAAGCCCGTATAAGATAGGCGTCGTGTGTTTTTGTTATCATATAATGCAATAAAAAGGAATGGAATCGGATTCACTAATTTTTCTTGTCACCATTATCTTGCAAGATTTAATAATTATATTATTAACTTATCGTATTATAAAGTCAATTGTTTCTAAAAAAACTGAACAGATTTACACATCAAAGTGCATCCTTTACATAAGATGGCAATGATAATTAATCAAGATTAAATAAATCTTTAAATTTTATATTTACTTTGACTAAAGTCTCGAACAATGTAACGTTATAATGAGTTTTACGAGCGCCAGTAGCTGAAAAAAATCAAAGCAAGTCTTAAAGTAAAAATAAAAGTCGTTTAACAAGTATTAGTATCCGCATGAATCATCCTTTTTATAATCGATCCTTGCATTCAATATAATTTGGTTCCATTAAATTGTACTGCAACTCTAAATCATTTTATAGAACATACGCATGCATTTAGCTCTCACCCCCTGTGAAGTTTCCCAATAATGTCCGAGCTTATTGTTGTGCCGGGTTCTCACTGCGATACGCTCGCTTGCCTCTTCTCGCGAGCAGTGATTTAGTAAACAAATTTGAATGATCGATAGCGGCCGCTACGGCTGCGGATCGATTTTTCTCTTTAATGAATCGACTTTTTGAGGCACGAAAGTGTTGGCTCGTGGATTATTAATAATTTGCTTGGCCGGACCACGCGCGCTCCACGCTGCATCGCGTTACCTTCGAACAACCGTGGGTCGATAATGGATTTGGACTCGCATGCGAGTCTTGTTTATTTTTCTTCGTTGAAGTATCTACTCTCGCAGCAAAAGTGGCACTATCTCACGCTTTAATGCTAAATGATACGTCAAATCGCCGTTTATCGACGCTATCGTTCATATATCATTTTACACACGAACACACTCGCGCAGTACACTGTTAGATACTCCATAATCATACGCGTCTCTCTCTTTTATTTTTTCATTGTTTTTTTTTTCTATAAAGAAATACCAAAGCTCTATTCTCGAGCGTAGTTTTTTTCAGCCAGAGGAGTATGTATAAAATCAATGCGCCAAGAATCTATCGGATCGACAAAAAATGGAATTGTTTCAGTCGAGCGCCAACGTATATTGAATTGATACAGCGTATACGTAGGTTATATAGCTGCAGGGACTTTGCGAAATGCCTTCTTATATGTGCGCAACCCTGAATAAATACGTACATGTGCAGCCTCCGCACACAGGAGAAAAGTAAATACACAAGGAAACGGCTACTCGAGAGAAAGCCTCGGAAGAGAGCTCGAGATATACTGCGAATCTTCTGCGTCTTAAACGTGGAATTTAGTAGCTTTTTTTTTAAAGCTTTTATATTTTATAATCTAGTATTGTGAGTTTAATTTTTATGGAATTTTTGTGTAGCCGGAAAAATTCTCTCTCTTCAACGGTACACTCGCACTACCTATTGCCTTTTTTTTTATTTATAAAATCTTTGAGTACTATTTTCAGGATGAAAAAAAATTGTCTTACGCTACCGCGCTCTTGCCAAGCGAAATAAGAGTAAAAGAAAAGTCAGCTCGAGCGCGCGCGCAAGGACATGAAAGAACGAAAGTCCGCATTGCCGCGCAATCAGTGCCAACGCCTTCGAAGCGTGATGGATGAACCCCCCGTTTTTTTTTTCATCCGAGACAAGTACGGCTATTATTCAATGCGCGATCGGAGAAAAAAAATATACGTATTACTGTGAAAAGTTTCGGAAACGGTACGACATTATCATTTGTGAAATGTTTACTCAATATTATCCGTGCACGCTTTTGCGCATATAATGGCCTAGATTCGTATATTATTATATTTCCCGCCGCTTGCACTGCACGCCATATACACTTTTGATCTAAATAATATGGGATATATAAACAAACTATTTACAAAATATTCCACTTCTGCGCTCGGCTACATATATATGCGCCGGGAGATGAAATGTCACGAATTGAATAGCCCCGCGGAACGTGTATATATGTTTATATTCGCCACTGAATGTGTGGCGAAGTCGACGTTTCTCACGGCACTTGCATACATAAAGCCCAGAGAGACGGAGAGAGAGAGAGAAAAAAAGTCATTCGTTTTGATCGATTCGAGTCAAAAGCATTTCATGGCGCTCGATGTGTGTAACGTGTGTTTGTGCTATGCAATTCAATCACACGATCTCATAAGTTTTGCCTTATAAACGGTTTCGTTTTACTTTTATTGCATATATAGCACGCTGGTACACGCACTTAATGTTGCAGACCGTATAATATACAGAAGACTTGGCTGGGCAAATTTAGAAATCTTACGAAATCGGCTGGTGCACAAGGCGCGCGAGCTGCTCATGCAAATGACCGTATCGATGCTATATCGATGTACACACACAAACTTTGTGGTCTTTTACGTTTCGAGAGGCGAGAGACAATCGATGCGTATGAACGTCGAAATACAGATAGAAAAATAGGCGATTTTTATCCTCTGCGTAGAAACTAATTTGAAACGTCGACCCAGCTTATGTAAAATGAAATCATAGAGTGAGTACGCCAAGCACTGCTACATACATGCACCGCACACACACTGGCACAGACTCGTATCCGAGCACCACCACGGAATATATCCTATATTCCTGCCACGGCGACGCGATGAATAACTTAATTTCGACTCGTGTATACACTAATTGTGATAGCAAGCGATACCTTCTCGTTTAGGCTATTATACGATGTATAAGCAACGCCGAGCTGTTATGCAAATCTATCATTAATTAAAATCGATCGGGCCGCGGTGCAGCCTCGCGCGCATGCTACACCGGTCGTCTATTTGTATAGATCGAGTACGTGCGACGAAAATGTTGCCTCGCTTTTGTTTTTGCCTTTTTTTCTCTCTCTCTCTCTCTCTCTCTCTCTCTCTTTTGCTCTTTCTTTTTTGTCTTTCTCCTTGCGAGCTCGCGTCGATGCTCTCTCGCGAACACATATTGTTTTCCTTTTTGCATATAGATACGAGTCCCATAGTGGCGTGCAGAGAACCGAGCTAATCAGTATTATACTAATGACGATGCTTGCCTTTCAAATTTCTTCTGCATACGTATTGTACGCGGGGGGGATGTGCTGCCGATTGTGCGCGACACAGTGGAGTAGTGACCCTCGAGCTGCTTTAAAAGTTAAATCGCGTACTTGAGCTTTTGCCATTTTTTATCTCGTTTAACTATTTAATGCCATGCTGTCGAGCTATTTTGCTTGGCGTATGACATTGAATTTTGAATGTTTTCATCCAAAGTTGCGGTAAAAAATTATTAATTCCAGATTGCGCATCGTATTTCTGATAGTATTATAAAATTATCTACCAGTGTATTCAGAATTTAAGCAAACATTTTTTATGTTTTTTTTTTATTATCTATTAATAATATATGGATATTAAAATTGACTTCAATAATGCAGAGTACATTGCTCGTTGTTATTTATACTTTTATTTTGTATCAGCACTTCTGTAAGAGCTTACAGATGAATTCATGCATTTTTAAGTTTTTAAATGTATGCATTAATGAATTGAATATTTTATAATAATTCAATTTTTCTATATCGTGTTTATTATCAAGACTCTTCATTCATTTGTGAAATTTTACAATTTTATCCAACCAGTAAACTGCAAACATGTGAATCATTAATTGGCGTCCTGGTTAATCACAAGGGATCAATGAAGGAAAATAATTTAGACCAAATTTCAATGAATACAAAATAAATATTTTTCAGCTTTGTAAGCTTAATACAAATACATTGACAATAACTGCTTCATAATTAAATTACATAATATTATCAACACAAATTTCTTGCAATCTATTTGCCAATGAAAATAAAATTTTTTGTGCTAGTTCAAAGATAATATACCGGATAATACATTTTAGGCGCGCACGCAAAATTTTGCATAAATATACATCGTCAGCGTATTTTGCGTCTCGACTTGTATTCACATAACGCGCAGCGACCTCGCTGGTACTGCCGTAAATGTATGTGTTGCCGCTTCTTACACAGCACATAAGTGTAGTCCACTCGTCGTGTGTATATGTAATACTGCCGTATAGGAAGAAGAGCATAAGGAAGCAGTGTGTATGCGCTTACACGGTACAAAGAGAGGATCGGTAGAAAGAGAGAGAGAAAAGGTTAAAAGTACCGCCACGGCTTGTCGCGTATGCTTAACTGACGCTGCACCCGCCCCGCAAGCGCAAACGGCATGAAAGTCTATATACTTATATACATAGTTGCGCGATAAATCGTTCCGGCGCGTTTGCAAAGCGACGAACTATTTCCATTATGTGCTTTTTCGCAATGGCTCTATGTGTGTGCATGTGTGTGTGCATGTATATGCTTCTGAGGCATTCCTTTTTACCCTTTGCTCAGAGAGAGAGAAAGGGAGAATATACTTCGACGCTACTACACGTGGCACCCCGTCGATTGCTCACATTGTCCATTGGTCGACTTATTTTATTTTATATTATGTAATTCATTTATAGAAGTGAATTTCTTGGTATGTCTTAGAAAATTACTTAGGCTAGATGTATTCAGAGCTTTAAACTACTACTATGCGGATGAATCCAATGAGGACATTTTTCCTTTTATTCGTCTATATATTTTCCATCTTTTCGCTGTACAGAGCAGTTATATTGCCAAAACAATTAAATAGAAACGAATTTATAAATTTTGGAATTTTTCCAATATTAATTTGTGTCAGTCGGAGGTAGCTGAATTTGGCAAGCTTTTGTATTCAATCAATCTTCAACGTATAAGTAGCCGAACGAAATGGAAAAATAGATTATATTCATAAATCACCGAGATACCGGCGCTCGTTCGTAAAAAAAAAGATTATTTCTCCGGGTTTTCATGCTGCAACTCCGACACTTTTACTTAATGTTAAATTTCTCAATACTTGACACGAACGTGAAATTCGCTTCCAAGTGCAGCTTTCGAATAAAATTACGCAGCTCGCAAGCTTGATCGATTCGAAACTCTTTAATAATTGCCGATAAGCAATTTTCACGCTTTTA